TCCGAATGGTTTCCCTATCCTCATCAGCCTTAGGGATAAAACCATTCTTGTGCAAAGTGCCCAATGAAATCAAATTCTTCTTCAAATTTGGGATATGTCGAACACCACACAACGTCCGAACAAAACCATCATATATCTTAATTCTGACATCACCAATACCAACAATATTGCAGCATCAATCATCACCCAAATAAACAGAACCAGAATTAACCGACCTGTATGTCGAAAACCATTCCCTATTTGGCTTGATGTGATAAGAACATCCAGAATCAAGAATCCAAGCATCCGTCAATAGAGTCATTAAAATAGAGAGCATATCACCCTCACTGCAATCAGAATTGTCATCCTCGACCACATTCACAGACTTGGATAAGTCATCACGCTACTCATCAATATGCTTTTTCAACTTCAGACAGTCTCGCTTCATATGTCCCACCTCCTTACACTTGTAACAGTGAATTGTCTTCTTATCCCTAGATTTGGATATAAAATTCTGCTTCCTAGACCTTGCATTCTCTAGCTTCCGTCCATAGTCTCGATTACCCTTGACATATAAGCTATCAGCTTGAGAACTTTCTCCTGCATTCTACTTCCGCTGATTGTGAGCCAACAAGGCTGTAGTAATCTCCTCAACTTTGATAGTCTCTTTCCCATATGTAAGAGTAATCACCATGTGTTCGTAAGAAGGAAGGAGGCAACAAACACAACATAATCATCGCTTTGTCTTCATCCTCAATTTCCACATCAAGTCGAGCCAAATTAGAAACGATTTGATTGAAGACATTCACGTGTTGCGCCAAATCATGATAATCCTGCATCTTCAACCCATACAACCGCTGCTTTAGATACAATTTAGTCGTTAAGGATTTGTACATAAACTGACTTTCCAACTTCTTCTAAATTTCATCTGGAGACGACAGATGCATGACGTGATACATGACCTCATCCGTCAAACATAATTGTATGGTTCCTGTCGCTCCCTGCTGTAATTTTTCCCAATCTTCCTCCTCTATCGACGCCGGCTTTGTAGGTCGCAAAGCCTTTAAGATCCTTTGATGCGCCAACAGATCCTTCACTCTTGTTTGCCATAATTCGAAGTTACCTGACCATCGAATTTTGCAACTTCGAATTTGGCTCCTGACATCTGATAGCAATTGTTGAATAATCGAGTAAAGAAAACAAAAATAACACAAGAATTTTAACAAGGTTCAACAATGTGCTTACGTCCTCGGTGCCTTAGGCGACGCTAGAATTTTTATTTAATTCAGTGTCTCATAGGTTTAGGTTAAATCTCCTTTTATAATAAATAAGCCCTGATACATATTTACAAAAATAACCCTATGCCATACCGCATGGCCGTATACCCCCGCACCCCCAACCCACATAATCGTAACCCCCCACTACGAGACTTTCTCGATATATTTATGAGTCATAACTAGCAGGTAGAATTATGATTAAATTTAGAATTTATAAACAAAATGTAATTTGATATTTAATTTTTTTACCGGTGAAGTAAATGAATTTGATTTTAAAATTCAATATATATATATATATATATATATATAATCTGATATATGAATTTAATTTTTAAGTTTAAATTGGTACTTAAATTTGATTTTATGGTACAAATAAAACCATTAATTATAAATAATAATTTGAACAAAAATTGAATTTCAAATACTAATTTATACCAACAATTCAAATTTAAATACTTAATTAAAAAAATTCAGATACTTAATTGAAAAAAAACCTTCATATACTATATTCGACCTTAAAATCAAATTTAATTTTAAAATATATATTTTCCCTACGAAATATTATAATATAAATTAAAAAACTAAATTTGCTGTGGGAGGATAACTCGGGATCGGTCCATTTTGATGTGTAATGTGGAGTGTTTTTCTTTCAATGTTGCTTCTTGTGTTCTGTTCTCTTCAGAGTTATGTGTGTACTCTTTTTTTCATATAAGTTTAGATAGATTTTTAACGATACACACTTAATTCTTTCCGTGTATGATTTCTTCTTTAATATACATACTTTACAAAAAAATATAAATGTAGATTTTTTTAAGAAAAATGGTGAACAAAAAAATAATTTATGAATTACATCAATTTTACAATTATTTAATTAATTATATCGAGTTTTATTATATAGAGGCATGATCCAGTTATACTGTGTAAAATTCTTTTAATTTTACACATTTTTAGGACCATTGGATGAGAAAAATTAAAGGTTGGAATTAACAGTATAAAATAAGAATATATTCACTGGAAAAAAACTAAGACTTAATTTTAGCCTTTGGTTTTCCTCAATCCAACGATCTTAAAAAAGTGTAAAACTAAAAGAGTGTTACATATTGTAAGTGGATCCTAACCCTATAAGTGTTAGGATCTACTTACACTATGTAAAACTAATAAATTTAGGCTTAAATATAAATAAGTGCCTAAACTATAGCGTTTTTCACGAATATGATCCTAAACTATTTTTTTTGAATGATGTCGATGTCTAACATTACAAACGTTACCACTTTAGGTGTCCGAACCGTCAATGACATTAATTTTCTCTGTTAAGTGACACATGTCACACTCTGATAATTTTAAAATTTATTTTTTTTAAAATTATAAAAATTATTATATTTATAAAAAAACCCTTGTTTCTCTTAAATTACAAAAAGACCCAAAATCCCTAAAATCTAACCTAACCCACTATCATCACCCTTTCCGGCCGTGACCACCACCGCCGACATAGTCCTTGCCATCCTTTAGTCATATGCCACCGTAGTTGTCGTCAATTGGCCGTCATAATAGCGTGGGATTGTGATTTTCATCCTAGGTTTCATGGGGTATAAAATGTCGATTCGCCATTGATCAACCGTCGGCCGGTCTCGATTTCATAGGGGTTTTGGTTGTCGGGGGGGATGAGGTCAGGTAGAGTTTCGTCGACGGCAAAAGGCAGAAGGCAGCATGGGTTTAGGGGTTGAAATAAAGGTTTTTAAAGTTTTGGAGTTATTTCAAAATTTCAATGTTTTCTAAAATATAATTTTAATTTTTTTTAATTTTAAATAAAAATTTTAAAATTACTAGATTGTGACACATGTCACTTAACCGAGGAATTTAAAGCCATTGATGGCCCGAACACCTAAAGTGATAACGTTTGTAACGTTGAGCACTGAGATCATTCAAAAAATAGTTTAGATTCCTATTCGTGAAAAACACTATAGTTTGGACACTTATTTTATAATTAAGCCTAGGTTTTTCACTAATTTATAGTCATTAAATAAATAAATGATAGATTTAATTAAAATTTATAAACCATAAATAAATATTTCTTTAACTTATTTTTGAGTTTAGGGTAAATCTAATGGTTATAAATTAATATAAAACTTATTAATTATACATAATATAAGCATAGAGAGAGGGGGGTTAAGATCCACTTATACTTCGTAAAATTAATAAGTTTTACACCAATTTATAGTCATTATATTTAAATAAATAAATTAGATTTAATTAAAATTTATAACTCATAAATAAATATCTTTTTACTCACAATAAAATAATATTTTTTTCTTTTTAAGATTAAGGTTTAAGATTTAAGTTTAAGTTTTTAGGGTTTATATATATATTTAGACCTTAGAACTCCTACTTTAAACCCAAACCCTAAATCATAAACCATAAGCTCTAAAACGAGTTAAAGGAATATTTATTTATGAGTTATAAATTTTAATTAGATCTAATCCATTTATTTATTTAAATATAATTACTATAAATTATTTAAAATTTATTTTTTTATAACATATAAGTGGATCTTATCTTTTATATATATATATATATATATATATATATATATATATATTTATTTATTTATATATTGATTACACTTACATTAATACAATACGATTGCCGATCAAGGAATTAATATCTCTATTATAAAATCGTCTACTTGAAATTTATTTAAAATTGTCTTTATGTGGTAACGACTTCATCAAAACACATTTGTTTTAATAAAAAAACATATATTTTTTTAATAATTTTTTGTTAGAACTCGAAATCTTAAAGAATAACAATAATTTCTTTATAATTGAGGTCACTTAATTGATGTTAGACAACTTGTATTTACTAGTGAATGTATTAAATAATTTATAATATATGGTTTTAAAGAATTAATATTTAAGATATTATATGATAAACAAACAAGGCAACTTTAATTAGTATGTACTATTTATTCTATTACAAACCATAATCATAGGGAATAAAATTTTGGATAATTATGAGAATTATATAATTATTCCATTTAATTAAGGCTTAATTAAGCATTTGTTTAAGGCAAATCTTTTGGATTCTCTAATATGTAATTAATTATTTTTTTACGGGAAAAACTTTGGGATTGTATAATAATTATTATATATTTTTTATAATACAAAATTGTATAAAATTTAATTTAATTAAGATTGTTGATAACTGAATCATCTATCAGCTTCATCAAATCAATACGAACGATTAATGAACATAAAATTATATAACTTTAAACTTTGTACGAGCTAAAGTAGTAACTTGCATGATAGTTCATACGAATTTTATTACTTTTTATAATTTAATTAATATTTTCATTAAAAAATATAACGATTTAACTGGAAAATTTGAAAATAAAATATATCCAAATTAAAAATTGTATTTAACTTTTTATTATACTTTTTCTAGAGTCATAAAGTTAATTAAAATAAAGAAATTTATCGTATAATTATTATTTTTCTCCCAGAATCGTATAACTTTCCAATAAAGCAGAAAATTTATAATTTCATTTAATTCTAGAACAATTTATTATTATTATTTATTTGAAAAAAAATAATAATACTCCACTTAATTTGGAAACAAAATAATGGAGAATCATTATAATTACTTTAATAAAAGATTTCTTATTTTGTTTATAAATTTTAGAAATTGATTATGAGAAAAAGTAGTCAAGGCAGAACTATAATCTCCCAAAGCTTATTGCGTTTAACCATGGCAGCTATGAAGGGTAGCAACACTAGCACCAAGACAACTCGGGGCCGTCAGAAGATTCAGATAAAGAAACTCGAGAACGAAAGCAGTCGTCAAGTAACGTTCTCGAAGCGTCGCAATGGTTTATTCAAAAAGGCGAGCGAGCTTTGCGTTTTATGCGGCGCGAACATCGGTATCATTGTGTTCTCTCCGAAAGGGAAACCGTTTTGCTTCGGCTACCCGGATATAAATGTGATATTGAATCGTTATTTTAGCGAAAACCTTCTCGAAGACAACGGTTCGACGACGAATGGCGCCATCGTTCCTTGTTTCGATGAGTTTAACGAGGAGTGTCAAGAGACGCTGGAGAAACTAGAGGTCGAAAAGAAGCGAATCAAAGAGATTGAAAAAGAGAACGAAGAGAAGAAGAGAAGGGGAGAGTTTTGGTGGGAAGACCCTATTGATAATAATATGGGGATTGAGGAACTTGAAGCTTATGCTAAAGCAATGGAGGAGCTGAGGAACAATGTGGTTAGCAGGGCTAATGAATTGGTGGGGGACGTATTCACCGCATCGGCAGCCACCAGTTATGCCGTCCAAAACGGTGGTTTTGCCACTGGAGAGTCGAGTGGTTACGGTGATTTCGGTCTCGATATCGAAGGTTTTAATTTTGGTCATGGTCCTGACTTAGATTGTTAATGATCTCTATGCATCATTGAAGGTATGATTACAGCTTTACTTTAGACAATTAATCTGTTTAGTTTCTAATTATTGTATAAACAGTATTGATCTATATGATCATATATAATGAAGTTGTTAATTAATTAGTCTTTTTTTCTTGTTTTAATTGAAACTCGAGTTAAGTTTTTATTCAGATATATTTATTCGAGTTATTTTGAGTATAGATTATTTTTCAATACAAATCGAATAAATTCAAATTATTAAACATATCGAATCGAATCAAACTAAAAATTGCATTAATTTGATAGAACTCTAGTACTAATGAACGTTTTATCAATTACAACAGAAACGTCATAAATACGATTATAAGAATAATTATAATTACAAATAAAATGCTATCAATTCAACTAAAATAAATTTAGATAGAATGTACTCATAATTAAATTAAAATCAAAATATACATAATATTTTTATATTTATATTCGATTATATATTTCAGACAACCTTAAAAATATTTTGAGTCGAATCAAGAAAAATTGTTACTTTATTCTCTTAGTAAATGGAATCTTACTATCACTCATAATCTTTTTTGTGTATACGATCAATATTAATATACGACGATTTGATTTATCAGTAAGATACTATTATTTTATTAGATTATATTGTGTCTATATTAAATTTATAAATTAATATTAATCCTTTTAAAAACGTATATATTCTGTAAATATTTATTATAGATTACGAGTTAGTACGTAATATATAGATTAAAAGATTAATGAGCAACCGAATAAGATAATATCAGATTGTGCTCATAGTATCAAAATAATGTCTAGTAATTGCATGAATCAAACGATTTAGGTGGTTAGAGGACGACTGTTATCTTTAAAGATTATCGGTTCGAACACGACATTTATAAGAATACTTGAACGTATATTGTCAAATTATTAAAAACATTTATAAGAAAACAAGAAAAGATCATGGTAATTCATGTATTAATATCATGTTCATGTTGCAGAAGAATTGTTTGGTAAAGATACTGACCCACAGGAGTTTAGCTCCATTCCACAAACGTTTGGGAGAAGGAAATGAAAGTAACATTAGGCCAACAGTATAGATTGCAATGGCCAAGAAATGGAATGCCAAGCTTAATGGACGAGGGCGTAAACCGGAGTGCAGAGCCGATAGTCCGCAAGCGAATACGCCTCCAAGTCTCATAATCAAAACATGCTTGCTGGATATCCTCCATTGCAGGATCAGACGAGGCACTCAGCACCTTGTGCAGGAGATTGGCCAATGCGTTTATTGTGGATGACATCGGCTGCAAACGCAGTTAAAGTTCGAATACGTTTTTCTCGATGTCGTTCACTTTTGAAATGTACATCAAACATGGGATTACAGTACCTTCCTCAGAGTATAAAAGGACTCGAGATATTTGCAGATGGTGAATGGATGGGATAGGTCTTCCAGAGGTCTTAGAAGATCCCTTAGTGAAAACAACATCAGATAGTGCAACTGTCACTCCACCTCCGGTTAAAGCGTGGCGCATGTTGAATGCATCGCCGATCAAAATCGCACCGGGAGTCGAGTATGGAGCATCTGCCATGATTTTGTTTGGCATTATTCTTATGTTACCCTTCTTCTCTATTGCTGATATGAAGCCAGTGTACAGTTGAGGAGGAACCTGAAACGTACATGTCATTTTGTTAGCCCTTAGTCCTCCAAAATGAATCAATAAAAGAAAGATCCGAGTACCTTGGGAGCCACTTGAGTTTTCAAGTAATCGGCCATTTCACCATCAGAAACTGAAGGTAAATTCCGACTAGGAACATCGACCAAGCAACGGATTTCAGTGCAGCTGATCGGATAAAACACGAAAGGCGAAGGAGTTGCTATTACAAAAACTCCATAATTTTCACAAGGAAGTTTACAGTTTGTAACAACCAAACAAACACTGTAAGAGGGGACATCAATCTGCAAAAACCAATCAACATCTTTACGTTTTCTCAAAGCATATAATTCAACAAGATTCCCTAATAATTTTCACCTTAGGGATTGCAGAGAGAGCGTCCCAAATTCGAGAAACAGCCGTCACAGACGATGGTGAGAGGAGCATAAGCCGTCAGCACTTGGCCACTCTTATCTTTGTAGTGTACTCCTTTGACAATCCCATTTTCTTCAAGCAGAGATGTCACTGACTCACTGTCCCTTGTTCTAGACTCACATTACATGATCATATCATCAAGACATGGATTTTGAGCCTAGAAAAGTATAGTTTTGCGAAATTTCAGATGAATGAAATCAATAGATCGAATTTACTTGTGAAGAGACGCAGCCTTCTCCCGCAACCTTTGAATGAAACGACCGTTATGGAATCTTCTTCCGGCGACATTGGACTAAAACCTTTCCGGAGGAAAAGATATGGTTGTTAGAAGTTTCAAAGTTTGACAACCAACTTTGGAAAATGTTTTTTTCAAAGTTTGGTAAATGTTTCTTTGAAAAATGTTTTTCAAAGTTTGGTAAAATTTTGGTAGATGTTTTTTGAAAATAGGAATGGGTAAATTCACTTTAGTCATTGCACTTTAGGGTATTTTCAAAGATTAGTCCCTAAGTTTCTACTATAAATACCCTTACCCATTTAGCTTCAAAATCATCCCAAAACATTTCTTTCTTCCTATACTAGAGAGCTTTCTTGTGAGTAGTGAGTGTTTTGTAAACACCTGTAAATTTTCTCTCTTAGTAAAAGATCTGCAGCAGCCCGGAGACGTAAGCACAATTGGCTGAACTCCGTTATCAATTTTCGGGTATTATTTTTCCGCTTTTATTTCGCATTCTCACTAATCTGGTTATAGGGAAATTACTTGTACTCGGTTTATTTTCCTAACAACTGGTAATCAGAGCTTTTGGTTGTGAATTTTGTCAATTTTTCTGCGAGGTTACTATTCATTACTATTCACGTGAATAGTGAATTTCGTGAATAGTGAAATTTCGGTCGGCGATACGAGTTTGTCGACAGTGGTGTTCTAATACACGGTGGTTCGCAAGAATTGTCAGAAACGATCCAAAAGAAGCTAGATTCGAGTGGAAGCGATGGCTGCAGATGAAGGGAAGGTGAAAATTGAAAAGTTCGATGGTGCGGACTTTGGCTTTTGGAAGATGCAGATTGAAGATTTTCTGTACCAGAAAAATCTTTATCAACCTCTCTCAGGAAAGCAACCAGAGGGCATGAAGAATGAAGACTGGGCTCTTCTCGACCGACAAGCCCTCGGAGTTATCCGACTGACGTTATCCCGCAATGTTGCTTTCAACATAGCAAAGGAAAAGACCACGGCGGGTCTTATGGCGGCTCTCTCCAGTATGTATGAGAAGCCATCGGCCTCAAACAAAGTTCATTTGATGAGGCGATTATTCAATTTGCAGATGGCGGAAGGGGCATCGATGGCACAACACCTAAATGAACTCAACACAATCACAACCCAGTTGAGTTCAGTGGAAATTGAGTTCGATGATGAAGTTCGAGCTTTAATTCTCTTATCATCTCTACCAGACAGTTGGAATGCTACTGTTACAGCAGTCAGCAGTTCGTCGGGAAACAGCAAATTAAAATTCGACGATGTTCGGGATCTGGTATTGAGTGAAGAAATTCGACGAAGAGAATCGGGTGAAGCATCAACCTCCTCAGCCTTGCACACCGAGTCTAGAGGGAGAACTTCAGAAAGAAATTTAAATCGTGGCAGATCAAAATCCAGAAGGGGCAAATCAAGAACAGGAAATAAAGATTTTACCTGTTATAATTGCGGCAAGAAGGGTCACTTCAAAAGAGATTGCCGAGCACTGAAGAAAGATACCGGTGCACAGGAATCTGCCAACGTGACAGAGGAGACAGGTGATGCCATGATTCTAAGCGTCAACAGTCCGATTGAATCATGGATCTTGGATTCAGGGGCATCTTTCCACTCCACCCCATACCAAGAAATCATGGAGAACTATGTCAGTGGTGATTTTGGGAAGGTTCATCTTGCTGATGATGAAACCTTAAAGATCGTCGGAAAAGGAGACATCCGACTAAAGTTGCCAAACCAGACCACCTGGAAACTGATAGGAGTGAGACATATTCCTGGCCTCAAAAGAAATCTGATTTCTGTTGGACAGCTTGATGGAGAAGGATATAACACAACCTTTTTAGGCTGTGAATGGAAGATTACCAAAGGAGCACTCGTCATTGCTCGTGGTAAGAAGACTGGTACTCTCTATGTAACCTCAAATTTAGAGAATATCATTGCAGTAGCAGATGCTGATGGAAAATCAAACCTATGGCACCAAAGGCTTGGCCATATGAGCGAGAAAGGGATGAAGACACTTTTGTCAAAAGGGAAGCTGCCGGATCTAAAGAATGTAGATGTCGGACTATGCGAGGATTGCATCTTTGGCAAACAAAAGAAAGTCAGTTTTGCAAAGATTGGCAAGACACCCAAGGCAGAAATGTTAGAATTGATTCATACTGATGTATGGGGACCATCCCCAGTTCCATCTCTTGCAGGCTCACTATATTATGTCACCTTCATCGATGATTCAACAAGGAAGGTGTGGGTTTATTTTCTGAAGAAGAAATCAGAAGTCTTTGATACCTTCAGAAAATGGAAGGCCATGGTGGAAAATGAGACTGGTTTGAAAGTCAAGCGGTTGAGGTCTGACAATGGAGGAGAATACAGAGACAGTAGATTCAGAGATTTCTGCGCAAACAATGGGATCAAGATGGAGACAACAGTTCCCATAACACCGCAGCAGAATGGCGTAGCAGAGCGCATGAACAGAACTCTGAATGAACGTGCCAGAAGCATGAGGATACATGCCGGATTGCCCAAATTTCTATGGGCTGAAGCTATCAACACTGCAGCTTACTTGATCAACCGTGGGCCCTCAGTTCCTTTGGATGGCGGAATACCAGAGGAAGCTTGGAGCAAGAAAGAAATAAACCTTTCATACTTAAGAGTGTTTGGTTGTATTTCTTATGTACACAT